CCCATTATATAATATTATATAGTTGGTAATTCGATTAACGTGAAAGTTTTATTTATTTCTATCTATTTATAATATAAAAATTATCGAATAATTATAAATATGACATTGAATAGTAAGAACAAACTCAGCAATACGTGTACATATATAAAATGAGTGAGGCGTTTAATAATACCTGAATAATTGTTGTTATAGGCATTTGGAAAAAAACGTGTCAAAAACCAAACATTGTACAACGTTGAGAATTCGATTTGGAAATTCAGTGCTATTTATTGCACAGTATAAAAATGATTATATACGATTAATTACATCAACATAACGATGGATGGTAGAACAAACACAGCAATACAAGACAAGTAATATAACAATGAATTAATTAATTTAAAATACTTAAATAATTGTTGTTATTGGAAGAAAATATTGTTGATAACGTTCGATTATGTGGATAATAAGAAAACTCAACGATATGTGTACAAGACGGAATAAATTTAAAACGAATTATTTGAATATATTTATATCGATTGTTATTGGTATTGGAAAAGAATGTATCAGGCCAAACGTGTATTTATATTTCGTTATATAAATTTGTTAATTTATTTTAACAAATACATTTAAACGCGTATAAAATAGATATCACTGTAGCCTCGAAGAGCCACATGCAGGTGATGAATTTATCTATGCCAGATATATAATTTAATTGTAAATAAATAAATACATATACACACACATATAAAAAAAATCGTATGAAATTCAAATATAGTTAAGATTTAAGATTCACCGAAAACTGGCAAAAGAAAATATTTTACCTTATAATAATTATTATACAAAATTCGAACTAAAATTTAAAAATTGAGAAAGAAAAAAAAATCTCTCCAATACACACATACACACATATATATAAAAAAATCGTACGAAATTCAAATATTATTTAAGATTCAAGATTCAAAAATTGGCAAAAGAAAATATTTTATAATAATTATAATAATTATTATACAAAATTCGAATCACATCCATACACGGAAAAGAATTAAAAATTTAAAAATTGAAAAAAAAAAAAAAAAAAATCTCTCCCCCAAAACAACTTGCGAAGCACAATCTCTGATCGTCTCTCCCCTTCGAAAAAAAGGGGGAGGGGGCGGAGGGGAGAAGAAAAAGAAAAAAATTCCCGTCGCCCGAACCTTTCGAAATTATACTTCGCAAACAGGGTGACGGTCCTCCGATCCGCACCCTTTCCATGCACCAACGCTCGATAATAATTCATATCGCGTCCCCTCCCCCCCTCCCTCTCTTCGAGGGGTCGCTTTTATCACGTTGCCCTTCCTTCCTTCCTTCCTTTCCTCCCCCACGATGCGAAAACTGGAAGAAACACAAGAGACGCGCGCGCGCGCACACACACACGCAATAGGGGGATGAGCAAGGGGGATGAAAGAAGGAAGCGGAAGCCGCGCGGCTTTTGTGTCCACCGTTGCTCGTACGCGAAAACAACCGTGCGTCTTCGACCGTTCCAACCGTCTCTTTCTCTTTCTCTTTCTCTTTCTCTCTCTCCCTTCCCTTCCCATTGCCCCCTCCTCTCGACCGAGCGTTACAACAACCGTCGTGTCCCAACCGTTCCTGAAGTTGCATGGCGGTTTTTTTCAGCGACGACTAGCGGTTTTTCAGTCCGCGCTTTGTGCGCGCGTTTCTCCACCGCTGCCGTGGCAGGATTTGTTCCCGACGTTGGTAATTTCTGCTTTGCCTTTTGTTTCTCCTCCTCCTCCTCTTCCCCCCCCCTCCTGCTTTTTTTCCTCCCTTTATTCGCTTCGATTCGCTCCCCCTCTTCTCCCCCCCCCTCGCTCGCCTCGTTACCAATTTTCGAATTTTCAATTTCGCGGTTATGGTTATGGAAAAAGAGGGAGGGAGGGAGGGAGGTAATTTTCATGGAGATGTAAGGGTGGATTTGGGAGATTTGGGCGGGAGGGAAGAGAGTTTAGGCTAAGTGAGTGTGTTGGGATGGAATTGGCGGAATTAACGGGAAGGGAATTTTTGGATATATTTTTGGAAAATTTAATTTTTTCCCTCTCGAAGTTAGTAGAGGCGAGTGAAAATAAAAATATTGTGATTAAAGGTTGCGCGAGGGTTTCAACGATAAATCGATCATTTTTTTCCCCTCGATTTTTTCACGAGAAAAATGTTTAGTTTTTGATCAACTGTACATTTGGATAATGAAAAATTCTATGTTTAAACACTGAATATTTTCATATATATATATACATTTGATAGAAAATTGATTAATTTTTGTTTGAAATATTTTTTTTTTTCCCCTCCCCCCCTCGGACTGTCGGAAACACTTGAAAAATGGATATCGTTAAAACGATATATGCATTCTCCATTCCTCTGGAAAAAAAAAATACGCAATGAAACACGAATTCGATTAAAAACAATTTGAACAATTGAAAAATCTACGATTCGATTAAGAGATATACATATATATATATATATATATATATATATATATTTAAAAATGATAAATCTCGAAATCTTATAACATGTGTTTGATCAATAAAACACCAGTCATCATCGTTTGTTTATCTTTATAGCGACACGAGAGAAGAAGGGTTGGACGTCATCGTGACGGCAATAAAGTCAACGTCGGTGTATAAAACGTCGGTGAAATTTAATAAGCCGAGTTAAGAACATTTCTACACACGCGGCCCGGTATTCGCAGAGTTAACGTTGAAACGAGGAAGATCCACGGGGATAGGAGGCTTTAATATCAGTCTCTTTTATCCCACGGCACAAAACAGTCTTATAAAGCTACCACGGAATATCCAAAATAATCTTTCGCCACACAGTTCTCCCCCCTTCTTCGCTTTTTCTCGATTTCTTCTTCTCCAATGAAGAGAAACTTCCCCCTCCATATTTGTTTTCCAACTATTCGTGATCCGAGCTTCGTGAAAAAGATGAACATTCATAAAAATCTTTAAGTATATATATATCACCATTCGAATGCAAAAGGATATAAATATATATATATATATATATATATATATATATACACATATGTGTATGTGTAAAGCGCGGCGATACTGCCAGCAAGACGTGCCAGGATTCTGTCACCTCTTCTCTCTGTTCCATGGTTGATCGAAAAAACAAAAAGAAAAACTCATTTTCATCAAAAACATATTTTCGTTGTCAAACTTTTCACAAGCGATATATTCTCGAAATAGATCTCGATGATTTTGAAACGTCCCCGTCAAAATCATTTTCAGTAAACAACGGTATTTTTCGAACGATTCTCCAATAATTACGGTTATATAGTAAGTCTCGATAAAAATAGACTCTCTTTGTTACTTTTACTCGCTGACATTTTCACGACGCGTCCCCCTGACATTTCTCGATTTACCAAGTCGACCTCGAGGCCGCGAGACATAACGAGACGCGCGATCGAGGCATCTTATACCTTAAAGCAACTGCGAGCAAGGATCGTCCTCCCTCCCCCTCCCCCCTCCTCCTCCCTCTCTCTCTCTCTCTTTTTCTTTCTTTCTCTATTTGTCAATCGATGAAACTTGGAGGGAAACGGGTTGCTCATAAATGCAAAGCAGGATTATCGAAGTTGCGCAATATTGGAGAGTAAAAATAAGAAGGAAGGAGGATGAAAAATAACGAGATAGATGGCAGCACCGATGAATAATACATCCTTCCCGAGGAATACGTGTATACGACGATACGTCACGGCCGAATTTTCGAGATTGCAACTCGAACGTTTCTAAAGACCTTTGGGAATCGCATCGATGGATTTAACAACTCCCCCTTCCCTCCCCTCTCCTTCTCGAAACGCGAAAGGGAAGTCTTTAAACGTGATTGCTTGCCCGTCATATTCGTTCTCGCATACGTTATGCGCCTTACAACAGGAAAGAAATTCAATTTCACGGGAAGGGAATTTTCGCGTATCGACGAGGATCGATATTTACCGGGGAAATGTCGTCGTCAAAATTTTTGAGGATTGAAATTCTCCATTGTCACGGAATATACGTATATGGATACTCGATTGATTTTATTACAATCGATTAAACGTTCCAAGTGTTCGTTTGATACGTTTTTTTTTCGATAATATATTATCATTGGCTGTATAAGTTAAAGTCTATACACGAAAATCGCATTTCTCGCATTTCTTCTCTCGACACAAGTTAGTTACCATCGGTAACGTAACGCCCACCAGAACGTTCGTCATCCATGCTCGAAACGCGTATCACGCATGCGTGGAGACTACTCGCGTGTCTCGCTTCTTCGTATCCTCTTTTGCTTTCGAACGAATATCGTTATTCACGCGAATATTATTATTATTATTACTATTATTATTCTTATATATCTCGTCGATATGCCAATTAGAAATGAATAAAATTTCAATTAATGGGCAAAGGGAGGAAAGATTGGGTAAGGGCAACGTCCGATATCTGTCACTCAACCGCATCGATCTCTCCCCTCGTCCCCTTCTGCCGATTCTATTAGCGTCATCGCGTGCAAACGCGCAAAATTTGTTTCTCGGCTAATTAATCCGATTATACAGGATGGAAATTTATTTTTCGTCGCTGCGAAACGCGGCTCCCAAATATCTCTGTCAGACCGAGGCAAACTGAATCGAGATCCAGGGAACGGATAAAGAGGGGAAGGGGAAGAGGAAGAGATGGATCGAGAGAACGACTTTTATGGACAAAACAAATAACCAAGGGTCGAGATTCTCTCTCTCTCTCTCTCTCTCTCTCTCTCTCTCTCTCTCTCTCTCTCTTCTCTCTCTCTCTCTCTCTCTCTCTCTCTCTCTCTCTCTCTCTCTCTCTCTCTTTCTGTTAAAATTAGATTCACGTGTTCTTATGCACCCGTTGGAGAACGAGTGACGAGACAAATTTTCTATGGATCGTGAAAGGATTTAATTTTAAATATTAGATAGAAACTGTTAACGCAATCGAGAAAATAAAACGTTACGTTTCGAAGGATCGTTTCGAAATTTCTTTTCCCGATCGAATTACCTCCTTAATTGCCTCGCGATGTATCCGGCGTGCAAGCGTGTAACTTGGCCTCCCGTCCAAGAAGGGGGGAAGGAAGGGTCACGATGCAGCTCGAGGATCTGGAAGAAAGAAAAAAAAAAGAATGGAAGCGTTAAGAAACAATGGTTGAATTAAAGAAACCACCGAGAGAAGAAAAATATTCTCGTGTTGACGACGATTGTGTGTACGACTCTGTGTGTGTGTGTGTGTGTGTGTGTGTGTGTGTGTGTGTGTGTGTGTGTGTGTGTGTGTCCTCTCTTCGGAATATAGAGCACGCGATGTAAGAAAAGTTCGATTCAAGGCCGCCATCGCAACCTTCCGACAACTTTTCACGTGACGGCATTAATTTCCAACCTCTCGCCCCCCCTCCCCTCCTCTCCAACAACCCTTCCCCCTCCCCTTTTTAATATTTCCACATCTTTCTCAGCTGTGCATACCCGGCAATTACCGGAGCTCGCGATTCCATAAAATTTTCCACCATTATTTCCTTCATCGCTCTTTGTTCCCCTCGCTCCCTCCCTCCTCCTCCCTTTCAGTGATCCAGCGACGCCATTCTTCCCCGTCTTCTTCTTTGCCTCCTTCTTCCAATCTCTCATTGTTTCTTTCGCTCGCTTCTTCTGCCCGTTTCTTAATTTTTTTTTTTCTGCTCCGTCTTCCTTCCTTCCTTCCTTCTCTTTGCCTTTTGACAACTTGTACAGCGCAGTCTCTTTCCTTTTATCCCGTTCCTTTGATCTTTTCGTCATTTCCTCCGTTTTACTTACATTTAAATTTTAACGTTCGAATTTTTCAAGATTGTTTCTCTTTTTTTTTTTTTTTTTTTTTTTGAGATTCGTATAATAAGATGATCAACGAATTATATCTAAATAACGCAAGTAAAGAATTGATTCGACTGGTTATTATATATTGTATTTTTTTTATATCTCTCAACGTTCTCGTTGTTTATCGAATTCGTCGCGATTTATCACGTTCATTACCTACTTTTTCGTCGCTTCTCATTTATTTTCGAGTTCGTTTGCAGGAAAAAAATCTTCTCCATTTTTGCCACCGTAATTAACAGGAAAAAAGAAGGGGACACCAATTTATTTCTCCGCATTGTACAGAGGAAATATCCAATTTAAAAGAAAAATATCCACCCAACATTCAGAATCAAGAATAAATACGTAATAGAATGAATAAATGAAGGGCGAATGATAATTAAACATTCTCGAAATTGATAATAAAAATACGACATCCAAGATCACACAGAAGCATCGTTGAAAAAATAATTTAAAAATCTCGAATGAAGTTATTTCAAGCAATTAATTGTTAAAATCGAATAACATTTATCCGCTTTTAGTGTAACCATTTGCCACTACGATTATTTGCGATTATTATTCATAACTTCGACTGTTAAATTTTGCTTATCGCTGGTTAAGGGTTTATTTATCAAATTCGTTCGTTTAGAGAATAATTTTTAGAATAATTAAAAAAAATGTATTAATTTTACGTGTCATGTAATTATAGAAATGCAATTACACGTATAAAGCAGAATTTTAGGTATTAATCCAAAAGTTGAAAAAGTAACTTAAAGTTAAAAAATTACTTCGAGTAATTAAAATGCTCGAATAACATTTCGTATAACTCATTATAATTATTATTGTTCTATTTAGAACGATAAATTATCGAAGCAACTTTATTAAATTTTGCCCATTCGCTGCTCGCATGGTGTTATTTCATTCTTCCTCCCTCCCCCCTTCCCATGAATAAGAAAGTGGCCGTCACATTTTTCAAAGCCCGCAATCAACGCGGAAAGCTTTTGAAAAGCTTCTGAATCCTCGCGAATATAATAGTTCGTCAGAGAAAGTTCGACAAAGGGATATAAGAAATCGAGGAGAACAGTTCGCCCGTAGTCCAGTATCTTTTCAGATTCAACTAAAACTCGGCAATGAAAATTTTCGATAATTTAAAATTCCCGCCACGGGAGAAATCCGTCTCGAAATCCGTCCGTTTCCCGCGTCGGTTAAAACGGCGAGAATGCCCACTTTCGTTCGCGCAATTCGAACATAATCCACCTTAACTTTTTCCAACGTTGAAATGAACAGTTTGGAGAGAACGATGCGGCTCAGGTTTCTCTCTAGGGGGAGGGAGGAAGGGGGAGAAAGAGAGAGAGAGAAAGAGAAAGAGGCTTAACCGGTTAAAACCTGGCGAATCCAGTAAACAAAACGGAACCCTCCCTTTTCCGCGTCTTACCAGCTCCACAAGCTTATTTTAAGACAATACTCGAGCCCAGCAAATATTCATAGAAATTTTCGGACGGACGCTCCTCTTTACGCCGTTTTAAACGCTGCTACTTTCCCTCGAGAGGGAATTCGCGTTATTGTGTATACTCGGAAGCTTCTTTTCCTCTCTCTCTTTCTTCTATTCTTCCTTACGCGTAACATCGCGCAAAATTCGTTCGATGATTTTCGAATGTCTTTCTTGTTATTTTTTTCTCCGATTTACTGTTTCGATTAAAGCTACGATGCTCCATTTGCACAGTCTCTTTTCCAAGAGTTTTCGACTTGTATCCACTCGAGAGCAACAGACTATAGAAAATTTGAACGATAGATTCCGTCCGAGAATCGTATGCCTTTATCGTTTCTTTCCACGAACTATTGCCGTCGTCCGTTCGTATAGAAATATCGCAAAAAACAAGCCACGATGGTTTCAAATTTCACGCTGCGCGCGACTCGACTTTTTTCTTCTTTAAGCACAAACGTTTCACAAATACAATCGCGAATCGCGTAACGAAATCGACGAACAGAGTGGAATTTAAGCCGCGAATATATATAATAAGCCGGTGAGATCTCGAGGAAAAACGGCGTTTCATATGCGCTAATCTAATATTTACCGAAGTTGGTGGGATCCGGAAGAGGCGGGGCAAAGAGAATATTAAAATTCCTCGTCGTCGTTCTATGATCTTGCCAACTTGCGTTGCGTGTGCGCCCTGCGACTTTACGCGTTTTTTATGCGTGGGACACGAATATACGAATTATAATTAATTAATTCGTAGAGGCAAAGTGAATTTTCACTATCGAGTTTATCTATTTCCTCTGAATTTCTATTTTTTCCTCTTTCTTTCTGAATGATACGTTTTTTTAAAAATTCGACGATGATTATTGCAATTTGTTGCACCTTACTAAAATATTAATCACCTCGAGTTCATTCGTTTTTTGACGGATAAAAATTCTTAATTAACTTTATTTGGACCGCTTTGTAATTAATATTAAAAATAAATTTTTTAGACAACGTACAATTGTTTACAATTGTTTTTATTTGAAAATTTCCGGTACGTAATTAATTCCTAATTTTACTCTATTCTTCGAAATTGAGGCATTATATTTTTTCGATACTTTTGTCATTATATTTTCAATTAAGAACTTTCAATATAGAGCGGATACTCAATACTAATTCTAGTATTGAATATGCGAAATAAATGAATTCTTTTTGGAATTTTTTTTTGTTGAGAAACACCTTATCCCAATTTTTCACGTATTGACAAATTTTAATTTATTTCCACAAAATATTTTCCAGCACGATATTTTTGCTCTAAATGGGATTCGAATAATAATATTTCTCTTGACGAGAAAAATTACGAGAGAGCAACAAGATTTTCCTTTAAATGGAGGGGAAAGAGGGAAATGGTTGTTGTGTATTACATTACAACACGCGTGCAGGCAACATTTCGTTTCCAATTGTATAATTGACAAATATGCGAAATATCCCTCCCGATGCGAGATATTTCGCCGTTTATCAAACGAGCGGTATGGACGCGTTGCTGTTAATTTTTTTTTTATCGCGGCAAAAAAGCAAATAAAATATTTGGAACGAAATACAAATGTGGTAATTACTCTATGCAGGAAAATTCTGGATGGAGAGGGAAGGGGAGGAGGGGGGAAAAATCGTCCTTGCGTGTTGATAAAATTTATCGTCCTACGCGCGAAACCAATGAAGTTTTTTTTTTTATTTTTCTTTTTTTTCCTTTTTTTTTTTTTTTTACCCTCCCCGATGGTAAACGTGTTACTCTATCGAGGGCAACATCGTCCGCTATCTCGACGGGACGAATAATTAAAGCGCGTTTTTCAGCAGCTGGATGGTAATTAACGAAAACTTCAAACGGCGACAAAAACAGCGAAAAATAATGGCGGGTTGCGTGCCTCGTGTGTACCTCTGTCTCCCATGCTCGGGATATGAAAAATATGCGTAAACGAGGGACAAGCATCATCACGTACGCGTTACGTTCCCTTTTCTCTCTCTTTCTCTCTCTCTCTCTCTCTCTCTCTCTCTCTCTCTCTCTCTCTCTCTGAGAATAAAGAATTGCCGCGATAATATTTTTCTACGGTTAGGTGGATTATTCAGTTTTTTGTAATTGCACTCTCGAATTAATCGTACATTTCGAAGTATATGATGACACGAATGCATTTTGCATTCGGATAAAGAAAACTCTCGGTTTTAGTAGTTATGCTTGTGCAATTAATTAATTATCTTATCCTAAGTAGATGTACGAGATTCGATATATTATTTTTATGAAAAAAAAATATTGTAAATATAAAATCGTAACAAAACGATGATAATATATTTGATACCTAAATTTTCTTTAAAGTAATATAAAAATATATTAGGCGTATTTTCTTTTTAAGACAAGTAATTTTTTATACGACTAATGTAAAAGTTATACCGATCTGTACCGATTCATCGGTGAAAAGAAGTCTCGCGGAAGGATTTGATTGATCAATTTGAGGCCTGTTTTCATTTCTGTTTCTATTCTCGTAATATTCGTCATGTTAGACAATAATAGAATCCAGAATATTCTAACCTATCCTATCTCTTCTAACCTATATAATGATATAAAATTTTATTTATTTCTCTTAATTTATAAATTAATTTCGTAATTCGAGTATATGAATAAGCTAAACACATTATAAACACTTTTTAAAATATTTCACTTTTCAATCTTGGATAATTTTTACGATTTTGAATATTCAACTTATAAACAACTCTTCCACTATCGTGTAGATCAGGATTGTCAACAAAGCGAAATCCGAAGTGGAGATAGTCGCGC